ACAAGGTACGCTCACCAGACCCACTGAAGTTTGATTTCCCACACACCATTTGCATCACACTACTACTGTACTGTGTTCTGTTGCCTTAGAAATACCTTTTTTTTTTTTGTATATTCGCGTTACATTTTCACCTCCAGAATGCTTTCAGTTTTCTTGAATACTCCAAAATTATGCAATATTTGTCCTTTCAAATATTTCATACCACATTACATAATTCTGCATCTCATACATTTACTGATTCATGTCCCTTTTTGCGTACTTGCTTCTAGATTTAAAATATACTGTCCGTAAAGAACAGCATATGTTAAGTTTTCAGTTCTAAGCTTTTACACTTTAATGTACAAATTATTACATAAGTTTAGCCTTTCATGTATGCTACTAGGATTTTGTTGTTTTAGAATAGATTTGTATGTTGATGAAGTCTTTTACATAATTAAAACATTTCTGTTAAATGATAGAATATGGGTATCAGTTTTATTAATAGATTAAAGACATACTTCCATTCTGCAAACTTTTTTCTTCTGAATTATCACAACTGATAGAAAACACTATGTAGGATTCTACTTCACATGGGATATAACAGCAGTTTTTGCAAATGACTGCTGTTATCAGGTTTATTGGCATTGGAATTTGTTGGAATGGTGCCACAAGCCTAATCTTTTCAACTTATACCTACGTTATGTATTTTATTCATCTTGCATTGTTCTCACAGTTGATTGGAATAAGGCTTTTCATTTGCATTTCATTTTCATCATAACTTATCCAGACCATTAAGTATTTAATTATTTTAGTCTTTTTCATTGAGCGTTCAGACCTATGATTTTGAGGCAATCACTTGAAGTATTTTCAAGGATCCAATAAAGATCAAGGCTAGTTGTTTAAGAATAAGAGAGAAAATGATCTTTTATGAAGATTTATAGTTTGCATGAGTATGTTTGTGTCTTTGTACATTTACTTATTTCTTGTTGCATGAAAAAAGGGGTGATGATTGTATTTTCCCATGGATTATGAAAGCATTTACTCTTGTTATTTCACTTGGCACATAAGTATTAAACCGATGCTGCCGGGGATGACATGTAAGTACGTAGCGTGCCCACTGTGAGTTTATTTTATCAATTGTTACTACACATAGATAGCTCCACAAGCACTTAGTCACCACTGAGCCAATTACTAATGCTACTTATCTCCCCTCTGTCCTTTTCCTTGATTTTCAGAAATGTTTTATTTGGTCTTATAATCTTACTGATGTTACTAATAGCAATATGTTATTATTATTACTGTTATTTTAATGTCTATAATAATGATAACTGCCTTGATATTGATAGCTTTAGTAAAAAAAAAAAAAAAAGAGACCCCCCCTCCCCCACAAGAGGAAAATTAGGTGAGGTCACGAGGGTTACTAATCGTCTCCTTGGTGGCTAAGCATCTGTAGAGCCATCTGTGTGTCGAGACATTTCACAAAACAATACTACAGTGAACACCACATTTCCTGGCGGCATTGGGTTAATAGACAAAAATGTCTGGGAGAGATAGTGTGTGATTGTGTTTTGTGTGTGTGATTGTGTTGTGTGTGTGTGATTGCGCGTGTGTGTGTGATTGCGCGTGTGTGTGTGATTGCGCGTGTGTGTGTGATTGCGCGTGTGTGTGTGATTGCGCGTGTGTGTGATTGCGTGTGTGTGTGTGATTGTGTGTGTGTGTGTGTGTGTGTGTGATTGCGTGTGTGTGTGTGTGATTGCGTGTGTGTTTGTGTGATTGTGTGTGTGTGTGTGTGATTGTGTGTGTGTGTGTGTGATTGTGTGTGTGTGTGTGTGTGATTGTGTGTGTGTGTGTGTGATTGTGTGTGTGTGTGTGTGTGTGTGATTGTGTGTGTGTGTGTGTGATTGTGTGTGTGTGTGTGTGTGTGTGTGTGTGATTGTGTGATTGTGTGTGTGATTGTGTGTGTGTGTGTGATTGTGTGATTGTGTGTGTGTGTGTGTGATTGTGATTGTGTGTGATTGTGATTGTGTGTGATTGTGTGTGTGTGTGTGTGTGTGTGCGTGTGCGTGTGCTTGTCCTCTTCCTCCTTTTATCCTCCTCCTCCTTCTTCTTTTCCCTTTTCCTTTTCTTCACTAAACTTGTGTAGATAGCCAGTTTTATAGAAGTCCCAGTTTATCATTTTGCTTTTAGTTAAGAGGATATAAAATCCTTGCACTACCATACCCTGTGCTTTTCCCATCTCTGTTACAGAATTTGATGAGAAACTACAATGCTTGATCTTATTAAGATGATATATATACAGAAATTTTCAAGTTGTTTTTGTTAAGTTTTTACAAATATATGAAAATGTAATTTATGTTATGAGAGCACTTTAAAGTTTATTGTGATGTCTTAAGGCACATAACTCCTTTAATACTCATTGACTCTTTAACCCCTTGGATCTGGATGCTTCATGGCAATCACATGGCCTAAAATACGGTCACTGGGCTTACTATGAGCAACCGCTCTGACAGATGCCGGTTGCATACAAACAAAGTCCCCTTTGCAATGTTATTTTCTCTTTTTATGTGTAAGTGTTTTTAACTTTTGCCAATGTCCATATTTGTTATTTGATTTGCTTTATCCAGATGATAATAGACTCTCTTAGGTAGTCCTTAACTCAGTGCAAGAATAACATTTTGAAATTTGTGTAATTTTGAATGTTTTTGGTAATATGTAATTTTCTGTAATAAAGCCTGTATCAGTGATCATGGTGGCCAAGAATAGGATGCTGAGTATGTAATTGGCATCCTTCCTGGAGCTGGCGCTCTTCCAGTCATGGCTCACGGACACGACATTCTACACTTGTTTGTCAATGGAAGTAATGCAAAAGCCCCTGTTTAAATTCTGAATGAAACTCTCAAGTCAAATTTTTTCATGACCCGATGGTCGTGTAATCCAGATCGTAGGGGTTAAGCCTTTGTGCTGGTAGGGAATGACCTACATACCATATCCACTGTGATTTTAGTTTGTTGATTGTGTTTACACATAAATGGCTCCACAAATATGTAATCATGGAGGAGTCAGTTACTAGACTTCCCTATCTCACCTATTTGCCCTTTTTCCTGATTTTTGGAAATTATTATCTTTTATTTCCTCTTGCTCTTAGTATTTTAATGACATTAGGTTATCATAATGTTGTTGATTATAATAACAGCATTGATATTAACAGCATTAGAAATAAATTTAAAAATCCAGGAATGAGGAATCAGATGTGGCCACATTCAGGCTATGAGGGACTCCTTGGTGCCTGAGTACTTTTGGCGCCATCTGTTTGCAACAATATTCATATCACATTTACCATGTACCTGGCTACAAAGGGTTGAGTATTAATGTATCCATAAAGTCAACAAGTTATCTCAGTATTTTCAATTAAATATTATGAGTTAGGGGCAATAACATTGCATTGACAGCACCGGCTGAATTTTATCTTCGTGCACTTCTATCATATAGGTATTTTACCTTCCCATTTTCCTTGCTGAGGCTGATGTCATTTAGGCATATATATAATTAACATGTGAGAGAGGGAGTGGAAAAATGCACTAGGATAAAGAAAATAAACAGTGATGACAAATGGTGGGCTTGTGTGGCATGAACAGTGTCACTCTCCCTTTTCTCTCTCAGTTTAGCCATGAGTTTCATTCAGTCTTGCCACATATTGCTGCCTGCACCCAGACAAAGATACTCCTTATGTATACAGTGAATGCATATGAGCCAAATCCCTGCCTGATTGGGGAGGGATAACCATGCCTTTAGGCGTTCTCATCTGTTTGGAATTTTTTTTTTTTATTCCATGGAGTTATGTGCCCTCTTAACAAGAACCAGTTCATGTATCAATGCAAGGATACATTTTGTCTATCATGCTACATAAAATGATATTAAGCATAATGCATTGAGATTTAAGGAATGAGTTTTCTTTCTTTTTTCTTCCCTCATTGTAACTGCCTACCTTTTTTTGACATGGTGAGCACTTCTTAAGGAAATCAAGTAATGGATTTCCACTGCCAAACTTGTTTGTAATCCAGACATATTAACCCATTGCCGCCGGGGATGGCATGTACGTACATGCCGTGCCCACTTTGAGTCGACTTGTTCGATTGTTTTTACACATAGATAGCTACACTTGTACTAAGTATCCAGTGAGCCAATTACGAGTACTGCCTGTCTCGCTCGTTCACCCTTTTCATCGATTTACAAAAATATTTAACGTTATCCTAATTTGCTGTTAAAAATAACACCATCTATATTTATAGCACTAGTAAAAATACGTTTTTTCCCACCAATTCAAGGATAGGTGAAATCAGGACTAGCAGAGCCATCTATGGACAGAGATATTTCACAAAAATACAAAAAATGAGTACTGCATTTCCCCCATTTTTTGTTAATTTTCCCCCACGGCAATGGGTTAAATGCAGTTTTACTGGTGATTTTAGTGTATTCATTAGCATTAAAAATTAACAGGAAACTGGTGCTTGTCAATGAATATCTTTACAGAGGAGGATGCTCAGTCAATATGCCGAATATTTATTTTTTAATTTTTAAAAGAATATACGTTTTGATTATTGATTTATCTCTAGAGATTATAGAATACTTATAAAAATATATGAATTTGAAATGGGTATTTGTGTGTTTGCTTGGTAGTGAGTGATTTTTGCCAGATATTGATGTACTTTCTTTTATATTTAGAGGATAGGCATATTCTAAATTTGGAATAGGGAATTAGAGTGTAGGCTTTGGTTTTGCTTTTGTTATAGGGAAAATGACAGAGAATGGTGATTGTTGTTTGCATTGGGTACCCTAAACTTACTCTATTTTGGAAACCTTTTCAAAAGTGTTTTATCATGAGGGTCAGAGTCTTACTAGACCCTAGTGCTGTTATATGGTGATTATTTTTTTGAATTGGTGGCATGCAGAATGAAGTACTAGTATAAGTTTCACAATGGTTGTATTCCAGTTTACATTACAGTCCGTTTTGCTTTCCACAGGTCTCGGGGGTTGGTGGTGCTAATGTGGTGCACCAAACAACCGCTGCTGCTGTAGGGGCAGCAGCCGCTGCAGCTGCTGCAGCAGGAGCAACTCAAGGATCTGGTCAGTTCCAGAGATTAAAAGTTGAAGATGCTCTTTCTTACTTAGATCAGGTAAATATTTTAACCAGTTTTTGATGAGTATGTGAATGATTGGATATATCAATCTCTTGTTTATATATTTATGGATGAGGGTGTAAGTATATATAAATATGTATGTATATATATATATATATATATATATATATATATATATATATATATATATATATATATATATATAGACACACACACACACACACACACACACACACACACACACACACACACACACACACACACACACACACACACACACACACACACACACACACACACACACACACATACGTACACAGACACACACACACACACACACTCACACACACACACACACACACACACACACACACACACACACACACACACACACACACACACACACACACACACACACACACACACACATACACACACCCATACACACACCCATACACACACACATACACACACACACACATACACATACACACACATACACACACACACATACACGCACACACATACACGCACACACACATACTTATGCATGTGTGTGTGTGTGTCATATTCATATTCATATTCCTATCCCAGCTTTGTTAAATGATATTTAAGATATTCTCTCTCACCTCTCCCCCCTCAAAGGTGAAGCTACGGTTCGGAAAGCAGCCTCAAGTTTACAATGACTTCTTGGACATTATGAAGGAGTTCAAGTCTCAGTCCATAGATACCCCAGGAGTCATAGC